AATGCACCCATTACATGAGTAGTTGTAAGGATTCTCCTTTCCATCCTAACTTTTGTTTCTAATTTTAGCCTTCTCCTAATGTTTCTATGACAACAGAACAGTTCTTGGCACTGGTTATTATTATTATTAATTCATTTTTGTGACGGTCTTAAAGTGGCGTTTTATTCAAACTAAACTCAGAGCTAGATACAAATGAAAATCTTAAAGTAACGAGCAGAGACATGACTGAAAGCCTCCTATTTATTTACAAGACTATGATCTCGTTCCCTCATTTCATACTTTTCTCAAAATAGATCATGACCTGTCCTCCGACAAACACCAGCATCTCCGTCTATTTTAATTCAGCTTCATTTTAATGTTAGTAATTTTAGTTATTAAAATAGTTATGATGCGTGTGGCTTAGATGACTCACAACTGGTGTTCGAGTCGTCCTGTCTGCAATCTAAATTTGTCATTTAAGAATAGATTTGCATGAACTGGGCCAAGGCCTATACTTGGGTCTAATGAGTTGTGGAGGGGTTCATGACATGTATGATGTTTAATATGGTTGGAAGAGTTCAAGCCTTATTTGTTAGGCAGCAGCCTAATGATAACCAGGTATGAACCTGTGACAATTTTATTGTCCTGTCTGAGTCTATGACTATGTAGGACATGCAGGTCCTCTCTGCCTACAGGCCAAGGATACCTATACCAGTAGTATATCCCCTCCTATGCCTCCCATACAGCTCCCCTCAAACAGTACCACCCCTCACAAGTCATCATTCAATCATACACTAAGAGGAGCCCTTTGTGTCACGGTTTCGAGGGACAAGTGCTGGGGCAACTATGTGGTCGATGGTAGTAAATAATAATTCTAAGGAGAGAACTTCCACTACATCTATCTATTCATTTATATACGTGAAAGCCTCCTCGCCACCAAGGCTAATCCCTCTCCTGTTCCTATGCTATGGGACTCCCCTAGTGTTCTGACTATGCCTGTAATACAGCACTATTGCGTTATGGTCCGGAAGGATTGTACTCGGTCTCGTATATTCCCAGTCAGTGTAAGCCTATCAACATGTGGTGCAGTGCCGTACTGCCGTGCCGTACTGCCGTGCCGTACTGCCGTGCCGCACTGCCGAGTCCGATGCCATGTGAATACCATGCAAATGCCGGCGCAAAAGTATTGTATTGGGTGGCGTCGCATATTAGCGCATTGGTAGCCATCAATAACGCCACTCGAATCAGGCCTAAGTTAACCAACATAGGCTACAGGGACCAATCGGCTTACCAGCCGTTACACTTTGCCCTTCATTATCTCCCCTCTCCAGCCAACAAAACAATGGCCATTTGCGGGTGTATGGCAGCCGGGAAAAATCGCAAAAACCACTGGGTGCGGGGCTCTTCTAATACCAACATTAGGAATAAATCCGAAGACATATTGCCCCTTCTGAAGCGTTCGAAGAGGCCGGCCAGCTGGGTGCTGCAGACTTGTGGGTACCTCGGGAAATTCACACTCTGCCTTTCTAGCCTCCTTACAACTCCTTCCCAAAGGTTGTGCTGAAATTTCAGAAAAGTCTTGACAGAGCATGATTGCTGTATAGTAGCTTAGCCTAACTTCTTTTGTGCCGTCCAGGGCGCTGGGGAGTGCCGTTGACTCATCGAAAAAAGAAGCCCTCCTGGCTAATTAGCCGAAATCTTAGTCTTGGCGCCTACAAAAAATCCAAAGTTGAAAACTCCTCGAAAATATCAGTCTCAGCATGGTCTTGAGAGACCTGTTCCCCCTCTCATTCCAAGTCCCAGCCGCCTATCCTTCCTCAAGATGTATAACCCCATTAGAGCATCAGTCCCCCATAAACCAAGACCCCAACTTTGTATATTATGACTTAATTTCCTCCTTTCGAGTATACGTAGCGTCGTAAATTTGTAGTGAGTAATGGCTGGTGATGAGTGAGTGTTGTGCTGACTCGGTTGAGTTGTTAGGAGACAGGGGAACGGAGGATGGGCTGCTGGATTAGGAAAGGGTGGAAAATACAGGCTGGTGCACAGACGCTGTTCATGTACTCTACAATCTCTTCACCTACCGAGTTTAGTGAATTAATCTATCCAAAATGATATCATACTTCACATCATCCATTAGATGATATTATCAATTGTCGGGATGCACATCTAGCATCACCTTCATAGATCACCATCGTCAGTAAGAGTTCACATTTGATACCTACTGACACCCATTTGGCCACAGTGATACGCACTCAGTGTCCATTGTGCCATCACTCAGCGTGAGCGCGCCATCTCCGCGACTCACCATTGCACATGAGCCCGTGTAACTCCACCGACGGACACCAGAGACATAATTGCTATATACCACACAGCTCATAACCACAACAGTGAGGCAAGCTCCTGTTTGCAATTGAGGTGACGCCTTTTTTGGTCGTCGAGGCGAAGTGATATGTGGTTAGATCGGGGTTGAGGACTCAGAAGATAATGATGAGTACTGCATGGTTGAGAAGTCGTCAAATGGAGATATGCATGTGTTTGCTTTCGACTTCGATTCGGTTGCAATTCTTCTTGGCTATCCTAGATATGCAGAGCATACTGAGCGATTACACCGGCACCACTGGAAGGTGAAGAATCCGTCTTTGCCGGCTGGCACTGGTTATTATGTTGGTACTAGTTTAGGTCCTGTGTTATGATGAGCTAGTGGGAGGAAAGCAAGTATATGTATGATGGCTTGGCCTGTAGCTATAGAGTTCTTCACGCTTAGTTTTCTGTCACAATCACCATCCTCGGATTACCTCTTGTATCTTTAGTTACTATTAGTACACACTCGAACCTTTAGACCTTTTAGATATATATATTACCCACCTTTCAAACCTTTAATTCCTTCTAGTTATCTCCATTAGACCTTCAGTCATCTCTAGCGATCCATCCGACCTCTTCTCGCCCTCCTATTCCACTTCAGGTCAAGCGCCTACGCTCCAATCTGACAGTAGTCCAAATGTCAAACTGAGCTATTGTTGTATATAATTGTCGGAAAAGCTGGTCTTTCCCTTGTCATGCTCTTTAAGTGCAGGGTTTGTGCCTATTGCATATAAAATTTCATTTTTTCATTCTTCTCCTGTACCATACTTCTCATCTGGTATGTGCCCCCCTGATACCCCCTTCTGTGCCCCATTTGTATCTCCAGGAGTGCTACTCTGCCACAGCCTAAACTCGAAGACGAATTGGTCCAAGTCACCAGTCCCAATCCGGGCAAAGCTCGTCATAGAAAAGCAGCCTGCGCCGCAATAAATTTAGGCTACAAGCCATTGGCTAGAACCCAATCCCATAAGATGAAGTGTTGTGTTAGTGAGGCCAGGATTACGATGCACAAGGGTAATGATCACTGAGAGTGAAGGAAGAACTTTCCAGGTGGCTCCATGATGAGTAGAAGAGTAATGGAGCACTGTATGGAAAGTGTTTCTAGATAATTTTCACGGATCCGTAATTAGAATTTTAATACTAATTTTAATTCGTGATAAGATGAAGGGGTAATTAATTAAAGACATCAATTTAATGATAGCTTCCCCTATACAATTAGTCGTGTAAAAAGTCATGTAAGGATATGCAAGAGAGTCATGAAGAGAAGGACAAGAACACAGCCATCAATGCGAAGATATTGGCAAGAATTGATTACGATTAATTCCGGTTGGCAAAGGCTTCTACTCTTGTATATAATAGTTCGGCGTGAGAGAGATTTACTCCTCACGCAACGTCTTCTTTATTTACCCTTTACAATACATTTATTTACCCATCTCTTCTTCGGGAAGACCACTTATCCATTGCCCAGTTCTTCATCAGCAAGACCCACGTGTAACACCTACTGCAACTAGTTGCCCATTCATCTCTTCCTAGAGAAGACCTGTCATTCCTTTGACCCATTTATAATCTTCACTTACCACCTAGATCTTCACTAGGCTATACAACGCACCCCGTGGAACACCGTCAAACCCTCATCCCTGAGAATAATACCACCAGATGGAGGAGACTAGAATATTCTATGATATTTTTTTGGGAAAATAAGGCGAGAGTCTAGCTACCTCAGATGTGTATATAAGTAGCGCTTTCTGCCTCCTAAATCCTCATAGTTCTGAATACCAAATATATCAGCAGTTCAGATTGATTCATCAATAATCATCCGTAAACCTTCTGCCAATTAACCTCCGCAAGCTCTTACCTTCACAACATGAAGACAAGTCGGAAAGATGGTCATTCTTTGCCCTTCCAAGCCTGTCTCTGGTATACATAATTTCGGCAGTGGAATGCGCGGAATTAATACAGGCACCTTCAAGGACATGAGGCTCGTTGATGTTTCATATGGTCTTCTCTCATCTACGCTTACAACTCCGATAAACAGCTGATCCTAATACGTCTATGAGCAAGGTCACTGAGTGAGTCAATTCAGTTGGTAATTTTAGAGGTTGGGAGCTATTGATTGTGTCGGTTCACTGGTGAATGGCATAGGGATAGAGGGCTTGTATTAAGTGTTGACTTCCAAAAGTATTGGTCAGCGCATCACGTGATATAGTTAGGGCGTTAAGCTTCCCTTTGTACCTTAGATATTAATGCTGGAGGAGGGATACAGAACAGATAGACAGAATATAACACTTGTTCTCAGCACTTTGAAGGCATTAAACCATGTGAATGTTATGAATCTACTTATTGGCAGATTTTCGAAGCTGTTAAGCTGCAGAGGTCGAGTCAATTTCGACGAAGACAAATTATCGAAGTTGCGAGGCTACGAAGTTACGAGGTTACGAGGGTCGAAGGTGCGAAGGTACAAATGAAAGTAATCGAGGCTCGAATTATCAAAGGTTACGAATTCATATGTTCAGATTATCATGTTATTAAAATATTGAGTTCCCAATAAGCAAATTATACAATAAACATAAAAGTTGTTAGAACTAAAGAACAAATCCAAAGGTCCAGCCTGAACAAATCTAAATCCTGTGGTCTCAGCCCTGACCGAATTAAGAAGATTACCCCTGCATCTCCACATCCAGATTAAATCTAACAAATTCATAACATATATAACATGTCTTACTTTGCCTGTTATTTTTACTGGTTTGTGCTTGACCTGTTTGATGATATTGTCTGTCTGTGAAGAATGCATCTTGGTTGACATTGAATTGATCATTTTTCTCTTCTCCTTCATAGGCCATTATAGAGTTCTGTAGTTGATTCAAGAGTTCACCAACTTTTGGTGGCAGGTTTGCAATGGCATATCTGCAAGCTGGAACGCCTTTGCACGCAGTAATAATTTTGTTGTGTATAAAGGAGCTGGTACTGAGATCTTCTGTTAGGCCATGCTGGATCTCTCTCAGTGTTTGGACCAAGATTTGCAGATATTTGGATGTTGACTTAGCTTTGTTTTGCGACATATTCAACTTTAACGATGTTTTGTTCCATTTGCCTAGATTTCTTCGGTTGTAACCAGGACCTTCAAAGAAGTTACAAAGATGATCAACTGCTTGCTCAAAAGTTAAGTACGACAGATTTGCTGCGAGGTAGTGCTCTTTTGCGAATCCTGACAGTATTACTGAGAGTGCTCTTGGATATGCCTCTCTGGGTACACCAGTGAGATCATAGAGGTGGTGAAAATTCGTCAATTTGTGATCTATACTATCCCCAGCTCCTTTGTATTTTGCTGCGCCAGAATAAACCTTAATCAAGTTCGACATCTGCGCAACGTAAGTAGGAGGAGGTATTGGTGACGTCGGTCTGAGAGCCTGCACTCTTTATGGGGTTTGTAAAGATGGTACTTTTGGATCGAGCAAAATCAGTTGTAGGGGTACTTGCAGGTCGGAAGGTTTTTCAGTCTTGAACTTGCTGCCATTGTCGCTGTATTCCTCCATGATTATATTATCTACTTGGATTGCATCTAGACGTTGTTTCAGCTTTACTGATTTCAGAGGCTCTTCTAATTGTTCAGCGGCATTGATTACATCGCTGTCAGACCATTTATGCTGTTCTTCTTCCTTTGCACAATTGTAAAGTGCCTGTGAAATATTGAGCCTACTTGTTTTGCAATCTACGAAAACTCCTCTACTTAAGAGGCAGTCTCGTAGCCGTTGAATTAGTTTCAGTTTAGGGCTTTTGAAAGCAGCTATTGTGAATGTTGCGAAGCCATCTTGGTACTGTTCCCATAGATTTGAGTTAGTAGTATTGTCTTCTTCGTAGAAATGAATCTTCGTTTCTATGTAGGAATTGATATCATGAGGAGTTGCTGTGCTGAGATCGATTCCTTCATCCCATTTGGCCTCTAAAGCCTTCCAATCTTGTTCTGTCATTTTTAGAATTTACGCTTTTGAAGAGTTGATATATCTTAAGAGGTGGGAAACAATATCCTTCCAATTCGATATTATTAACTCTGCTAAAGAAGAATCAAACCCGTTGGCGATAATCAATCAATAAGATACGCTATCAAGCTTCCGGATAGACACTTGCTCCTCTTCGGCTGAAATTGAAGTTAAAGGTGGGAAGCAATATCCTTCCAATTCTACTTATTTCCTGATCTGTGCGCGCTCACTGATCAGTGTCGGGATACTTAAACACGGTGCAAAGAACGTAAAATGTGTATCACGTTTCTGCAGTTGTGTTGGTGGATCTTGTCTATTCTCCTGTTCTACAAAACAATACTAATACTCATAATGAACGATGACTAATCTATGACTAACATTGGAAAGTGAGGCCATGACATTTATACCAACAGTTATAAAGGTGGGTAATATAAATAGCTAAAAGGTCTAAAGGTTCAAGGGGGTACTAATGGTAACTAAAGGTACAAGAGGTGACTAGAAGTAATCCGAGGTAATCCGAGGATGGCAGTTGTGACAGAAAACTAAGCGTGAAGATCTCTATAGCTACAGGCCAAGCCATCATACATATACTTGCTTTCCTCCCACTAGCTCATCATAACACAGGCCCTAAACTAGTACCAACATAATAACCAGTGCCAAGAACTGTTCTGTTGTCATGGCAACATCAGGAGAAAGGTAAAATTTTAAACTAAAGTTAGAATGGGAAGGAGAATCCTTACACAAGCACAAGAATTCTGCAATCATCCACATCAATTTAGGTCCTGCCTATGGAAACTTGCAAGAATTGATTCCACTTTGGTTAGAGGTTACAATCTCAGGACATTAGGCTTTTCAGATAATAGTAGCTGACTAGTTGCGTGACTACTGGGACTGGCTTGTTTTGAAATTGGCGTTGCTTGGCAATGAAGAGTCACATTAACATGGAACGTGTAAGAATTCACAGCAAATTATGCGAAGGCCACGTGACTGTATAGAACTGAGCCAGATCGAGAAGGCAATTAATCATCAAAAGAACTCACTATATTATGCTTCTATAATACAACAAGAGTCTGATTTAATACCTCTCTCTGTGATCCCTTGTCACCCCCAACTAGTACATGAGGCTATTCTAGTACCTTCTTCAATGCCCCCCATATGCGCAATCAGTAAGTTCAATATCCCTGTTATAGATCTGCATCTTGCCTATGAACTGCACCCCCATACAATAAACTTACGTCTGCTTACAGAACGTAATAAAGTTTGAATATTACTAGGATGTTCATGATGACTCATATATTGACCAGCCTCCCAATTATCTAGCATAAGCTAGTGAATTATGTACTTCACTTATTTTTTATTTTTATTTTTTTTAAATCATTTAATGTGTATTCAGCTATCTGGCTATGACACATGACCGGTACTATATTTACATGTTGGATGACTCTTTTGACGTTAGAGACACTCATACTCTGGATTTCATTTGCAAATACCACTATGAGGTATGTTTGCTTACACAAACAGTGGACCCTCCTCCGTAAGTACCCACCAAAGGGAATTTAAAAACCTTTGGTTATCCAAGCATGCCTTTGTCATCCATGTATACCAGTGCCGCGAGAAATGTGGTTGTGTTTTGCTGGATTTGAACCAGCAATCTACTGTCTCGAGTGGGATATGTGTCCAAGCTATCCAGACTCTACTTGGCAGACCGGCCAAGACAATGTACCACCGCACCATCCAACCATGGCAGTTTTTATAGTGTTGCCTGCACTCTCGCAGCCGAAGACTTGGCACGCACAAAGCTCAATTTGTAAAAACCCCTTTCCAAAATTCAAAATTCCACACCCGTCGAGACTATATCCAGTCCTCTGCATCATCTTATTAACTTGTCCTGATCCCTCTCACATCCATCCCCAAAAAACAGTCCTCCAGATTTGTGCGCCACGCTTTGCTTCCTTTATTGGGTATAAATATCGGCGTGGGCATGTATCTGGCGACCAGCTAAGGCCAGAGAAAGTCGACAAGAGGTTTGGTCATTGGGATGAGGATGTACTAGGTCGTACTTGTAAACTTGATGAGGTTTAGGTAGGAATCAATTTTGTTGGGAGTGAAAGATTGATATGGTGGAGTATTTTGAATCATTGCCTTGTGGGCCAACTTGTTGGGTAATGCGAAATTTGACTGAACTTAGCTCTGGGAGAATATTTCACTCCCAGGTTCATAGAGGACACCGCGTACAGGTGTTCAGTCTTGCCCTCCATGTACTTCACTTAGCTGTAGTATATATACATAGTTCTATTGAAATATGATATATCTTGGAATGCCAAGAATAACTTATTAGTAAGTCCGGCTAATTTGACTATCAAATTCCCCATTCTACATCACTGTAATCAGTACATCCTTCACCGAAAGTTTAATGCGCATTATCGTTTATTTCACACTAGCATTCCAGCAGATGACTATGCCTCAAATGCAGGTTATAGTTTTCTCGTACCTATTACCAACACACATGTATTTAGCTTTATATTCCTGGCCCATATATGTGTATGTACATAGATCTACATCTACATGGATCATAACTTACGATCCATGGAGATTGATAAATACTGGTCAAAAACCACAGTTGATAAGATATGCAAACACGCAACCTCACTCTTATCATCTCGGTTTTACTCTGAACCATACATCAAAATACAATTGTTTCCACTCGGATCTTCCTCTCACAACCTCATACGAGACTTACTGCATCGGTCTAACCGCTGACACTGATTCCGCTACAACCTCCATCTTCGCTCAAGCTCATAACTTTAACAAGTTCATCATCCTAATTTGGCGCCTTGAGGCTCATGCAGGTTTTTATCAGGAGATATACTCCTAGTAGGAAGACTCAATTTGACATTAAGAACACTCACACTCAGATTTTATTTGCAGATACCACTCTATGTTAACCCTTACGGCGTATAACCTCTTCTGTGCATACCCACCACAGGGAAAAGCGTGAAAACCCTGTGGCTATCCGAGTGTGCTTTCATCATCCCACAAGTATAATATCACCGCGAGAGAGAGTGGTGTGTAGATTTTACTAGATTTGAACCAGCTTTCTCCTGTCTCAGATGGGGTAGGTGTTCAAGCTACTCAGTACCTTCTGTCAATGTGTCGAGAGTTCAATAAATCAATATTCGGAGATGTCAGAAGGTCAAGATGTCAAAAGATCAAGATGTCAAAAGGTCAAGTACAAAGGTGCGAGTGCTATATCTCCACTGATGCCTGCCACGCAGCTACTTTTAGACCTTGCCAGGCCTCACTAGTTCTCGTTCAATCATATACTCAGATAGATCATCTACCCATTATTTTCTCTCTACTCTCCAGATTACAAAACGATAGACAGATCGTGCACAAGATCTCTAGATCTGTAGATTTGTTATGAATCTACTTATTGGCAGATTTTCGAAGCTGTTAAGCTGCAGAGGTCGAGTCGATTTCGATGAAGACAAATTATCGAAGGTTCGAGGTTACAAAGTTACGAAAGTCGAAGGTGCAAAGGTCAAATGTCAAATGTGCGAAGGTGCGAATGAAAGGAACCGAGGCTACTCAAATAACACGCTCAACAAAAAGCCAGACCTCAGACATCTGTTTTGTGCAGGCTGGTAGATTGAAATTTGTAAATGTCTTTTGTGCTCCAGGCCACAGCTGTTACGGGACAAAAAATAAACAAGATACGTAATATGGAATGTACATAAGATAGGATGCAAACAAGATATAGAAATCTAACAAAACGTCGCACGCCCTCCAAAGACGTGAAAGAGGGTTACTTAAGGATTTCCTCGGACCAGCTCGACGCTAGTGTCAATAATAACACCAGTCCT